CTTGAAAAAAAAAAACAGAGAGATTTAATTATATCATTCTCCTTCAAATTTTTTTTTCCTTTTAAATCATACAAAGCTCCTATCCGCTTTCAAAATTAACTTGTCATGAAAATGGAAAGAACTAAATCTTGAAAAACATTTAGAACAAGTCCATATATGTTATGTTTTGTTTTGCTTGGAATATTTTTATAGATTTTGAGAATAAAGAGAAATATGTTTTAATAACTGAAGGAAAAAATAACGCAATTTATTTTTTCTTTTTAATTTTAGCGAGGTGGATGTACAATTTTCTATTAAAAAAATTAATAGTAAAAAAATATATTTAGTCTTTAACTATATATAAAATTTCAGTTTGATCTCTTAATTAACTCTAAAAAGTATATTTTTGGTTATTTAATCTTAATTGTTAGCTTTAAATGATAATTTTTTGTAATAATCATGATTATTTGGAAAATTAAACATGATATATTATCATTTTAGAAGTTTTTATCAATATTTGAGATCCTAATATTATCATTTTTTGTTAATGATTTTAGAACTAAATAGCTAAAAGTATACTTTTTAAAGATAAAGATAAGGTACCAAAATAAAACCTTATATAGACTAAATATACTTTAACCAAAAATTAATATGGTTTCAAAAAAATTTTAAATTAAAAAAAATCCACAGGAGCTCATATAAATATTTCAAGGAACCGTTTCGATCGCTGCTTCATCACTTCAAGAAACAGTTTCATGATGATTCTTCGTTGGACGTCACAAATGCCTCTGATTCTGTTGGTGTTGCTATGTGCAGTGAGATTCAACACAATCAGTTGCTGCCATGAGAGAGATCGACGTTCACTGTTAAGCTTCAAACAAGGCGTTGTTGATCCCTCCAACCTCCTCTCTTCTTGGTCTTCTCTCCAAGATTGCAGCCAATGGGATTGGGTTAAGTGTGATCGCAATAACAGAGTCGCAAGCCTTTTTATGTTAGTTTTTGGCTGTAAGTTTTATTAATTTCGGGTGCTTAGCTTTGTTTCCAAACAATGGTCATTCTATAATTTCAATAAAATATTAATTATTTACTTGACAACTTTATCCTTCACTAAGGAGAGATAGGAAAAGAAAAAGACGTTACGGTGTAAAATATTATATAGGTGAAATTAAACGGAGAAAATATCACATGCATGTATTTAATACAGCGGCATGGACTGTGAGAGATGTTTATCATTGTGCGCAGACACTCAGGAATCAGGATACCTTGCCACGGCAATCGACGGTGGTGATTCATTTGATATCGCGGATGTTTTATCCAATTACTTTGATGACAAATAAATCTTACTTCTTCTAATTTTTTTATATAAGAACTGCTTAACTAATTTATATAGCTTAAAAAAAAGATAAATTAGTTAATTTTCAGATATGTGATGTAATACCCCCAAAATAATCCTCTGTAAAATTAGACTCTATATCAACTTATAAGTTAGATAAATTATCTAGGAAAAAATGATATAAAAGACAAAATAAACTGAAATTTTATATTTTGAACTAAATTTGACCCTTAACTAGGTCTTATATTAGCAATAAGAAGGAGTATTATTTAAAACCCATAAATTGAAGTACTCTTTCATCTTTAAAAAAATATTCATTTAAACACTCAATTGCCAAAAATACTATTGCCTCCATTATTTATTATAGGAGACAATTAACCAAAACACGTTGGTCAGAAAATTAATTAAAAACAATAAATAAGCAAAAAATGTAATTTATTTTTAAAAAAAAATATCTTCAAAGTGTCTCGTATAAAAGAAACATGCCCTTTTCCGGGGAAGTGTTTTTTATAAATAGAAATGGAGGGGGTAACATTCATGGAAAGTTGAATCGAGCTTTAGCGTGTCAATGTATGCGTCTGTCCCTTTTGATTACCAATTGTTCGTGTCATTTCGATTTTGCTGTTAATTATATGAATTCGAGCGCGGATGATGGGTGGGGTAGAAGCAATGAATGGAAGAGAATAATTTTCTCTAAATCATTTTATATTTACTACATCCAAATCATGTTATATTTATTACATCCGTTACTTCTTACTTGATATAAAAGTTAGTTAACTAATTTGAGTAAATTAAAAAAGTTTGTTAAGTTAGTTATTTATAATAAATATAAGTTGAATATCCTAAAATACCAATTATTAGTAGAACTACTATTTAATAGAATTTTTAATATGTGTAACTATTACAGTGACTACTTTGAAACAAATAGATAAATATAAGAGATAAAATGGATTGAAATCTTATATTTAATACCAAAATAAAAGTTAAATTAACTCTTATATTAGAGATCGAAGCGAGTATAATTCAGTCTTAACGCAGATAAAAACAAATAATTCAAAAGCAATGAGAGCTGATAGGGGGTAATTCATAGCAATTCAAAAGGACGGTGGACGGGGCATTGTACAATTATTACCCATGTCACAGCAATTTCTTGAGAAAACGTAATTCAAAAGCAATGGGAACTGCTGAAGATTCTTTAAAAATTCACTCAAGCTATATAAATAATAAAGATCGATCAGTAGGGCCTCAAAAAGCTTAAACACAGCCAAAAAGCAAGTTAAACACATAAAAATGACACACGTATACCCCAACAAACAAACAGAGAGAAAAACAAAAGCTTCATTATTTATTCCAAAAACTCTGCAATATGTGTTTAGGAAAATGTGGGAGCGATCAATGAGAACTTCATTATATATGAAGACTAATTAAGTTTATATAATATAATTTTGGAAAAAGCACCCAAAAAAAACAATGTAGATATTAATTATTTATTTAAGAAGAACAAGATTTCTATTTTAGAATGGTTTGGATGCCAAAGGAACAAATATTCTTAATAAAACCAAACGGTTCAATTTAATTAAATAATTAAAATTCGTTCAAAATAAACATTTTAACGTCTAAAAGTAAGAGGATAATATTTAAGTAAAAAAGTCAAATTTCATATTGAATATATTATTTTGTACTAATAGCATTATAGAACTTGTTAATCGCATGATTAAAGTCGTAAAAGTGCTATTTTTTAAATTTTTTGGACAACTTATTGTTAACTGTTATACCGAATTTGTTAATAGCATTACAAATTTCATGATACGTATATGATTCCCCTAGTATTCCTTTTCAAATAAATACAAATTTTAGTATTTACATTCAGACTTCATAGTCTTTTCCCCCTCAACGATTTAGAATTCATATCATGTATTTCAGAATTTACATTTCTTTTTTTTTTTTTAATGAAATCGATCAACTCTATTGAAGTATCTCTCTCTCTCTCTCTCTCTCTTCACACACACACATTAAAACACATGCTGGGAAATACTTTCAGGTTCACTCGGCAGGGAAGATTTTAGTGATGAAAAATTATAAGAGGGTATATTTAATCTTTGGTTAAAAAAAAAGTATATTTAGTCATCTGACTTGAAATAAAATTTTAGTTTGGTCTCCTAATTTTATAAAATATCTTTAACCTTCTAATCCTAATTTAATAAAATCTTAGGTCTCACATAATAATTTTGTATGCCAATTATTATTATTTTTAAAAAATTAAACTTAATATTTTAGCGTTTAGAAATATTTTATTAATTGCACAAAGAATAGCGAATCACTGGTAGCGTTTCGTGTTCGATGGGTATTAACTATTTACCCATTTCATAGCAATTTCCTGAGAAAAAAGTCATAACTGAAAAGCAACGGGAACTCATCAAGATTGTTGAGACAAAGTTATAATATATGTGGTCCACGTCTTTGTAATACTTTTATTAGAACAGTAATAGTCATCAATTATTAATCCCACTAACAAGGATTTGAGGCAAAGACTGGGAGGGAAAAAAAAAAGGTGAGAAGACTTGGAAAACAATATTGGAAAACTTCTGGGAATTGGTCCAGAAAATAAAATTAAGAAAGTAACCTTTAGACATATATTTTTTATTTTGCGAAAATTAAAAGGATATTTTTCTTCTATTTTTGAGAACTAAATGTAAAGTCTCTTAAATTTTGCTGAAATTATACAAATATTCATTTTATTTTTAAGTGCTTTTATAAACCTTCATATCAATCTCCTTCTATTCTCTTTAAAAAAAAAAAAAAAACTTCATATCAATCTCCATCAATTCTCTTTTAAAAAATATAAAAAGAGTAAGCTATACAAATATTTTTGAGAAAATTGTAGAGTTTTTCCTTCTATTTTTGAGCATTAATGTAAATTCTTCTAAATTTTGCTAAAATTTTATAACTTTCATTCTATTTTTAAGTGCTTTTATCAGCCTTACTTCCAAAAAAAGAAAACAGATTTAATTTTATCATTCTCCTTCAATATTTTTTTGTTTTAAATCATGCAAACCTCCCATCCACCTTCAAAATCAACTTATCATGAAAATGGGAAGAACTAAATCTTAAAAAACATTTAGAACAAGTTCTTGTATTTTATGTTTTTTGTTTGGCATAGTTTTTATAGATTTTGAGAATAAAGAGAAATTTGTCTTAATAACTGAAGGAAAAAAAAATCACGCAATTTATTTTTAATTAGGAAAAAAACAATTTAATGTAAAATTTTCTATAAAAAAATTAATGGCTAAAGAATATGTCTAATGCTTTAACTATATACATAATTTTAGTTTAGTCCTTTAATTAAATTTAAAAAGTATAGTTTTAGTCATCTAATAATTGTTAGTTTTAAATGATAATCTTTGTAATAAGTATGATTGTTTTGAAAATTATATTAAATTTTAGAATTTCTTATTAATATTTAAAATCCCAATATTATTATTTTTTGTTAATGGTTTTAGAACTAAATAACTGAAAATATGTTTTTTAAATTTAAAGTACTAAAATGAAACTTCATGTAAATTTAAAAAAAATTAAAATTTAAAAAAAATCCACAGGTGCTTATATAAATATTTCAAGGAACCGTTTAGGTCCCTGCTTCACCACTTCAAGAAACAGTTTCATGATGATTCTTCGTCGGACGTCACAAATGTCTCTGATTCTGCTGGCGTTGCTATGTGCAGTGAGATTCAACACAATCACTTGCTGCCATGCGAGGGACCGACATTCACTTTTAAGCTTCAAACAAGGCGTTGTTGATCCCTCCAACCGCCTCTCTTCTTGGTCCACTCTCCCAGATTGCTGCCAATGGCATGGAGTTGGGTGTGATCGCAACAACAGAGTCATTGGCCTTTCTCTGTGGGATGACGGAGACTATTATTTTGATCCAATAAGCAACAATCATTCAGAATTACTGAGAGGTGAAATCAACTTATCTTCTTTACTTGCTATTGAATCCCTCGAATGGTTGGATTTGGACGGCAATGACTTTGAACGCATAAGCATGGCGCCTATCAATAATTCTGTTGCAACTCATACTCATTTGCTACCCAATTCTTCTAAGCTTTCTTATGTGAGTTTATCAGACAATATTCATCTCCACGCTGATAATCTTCATTATTGGCTCTCTCGGCTTCCGTCCCTGACATCTCTCGACCTCAGTGGCATTCATCTTCCTAGTGAAACCAATTGGGTTCAATCATTGGCCTCGCTACCGCTGGAGAATTTAAGTTTGCGTGATTGTAATTTGACCACCTCTATTCTGTCTTTCCAGCCTGCCAATTTTACCTCACTTTCATATCTTGATCTTAGTCTGAATGATTTAACATTTGGATTACCTAATTGGTTATTCAATCTTAGCAAAGATCATCTCCAAAGTTTTTATCTCAGTCAATGCAATTTGAGAGGTCAAATTCCAGATCTTTCAGGCTATCGAAATCTGAAGTCGTTAGATCTATCCAACAACAAACTCAAAGGGTCAATACCTGAGTGGCTTGGCCAGCTTGATAGCCTAACTATCCTTGATCTATCTAATAACTCGTTTCACAGTTCCATTCCTTCTAATCTCCTAAACACATCAGCTTCGTTAGAATATTTAGATATTAGCTTCAACAACTTGAGTGGTCCGCTCCCAAAAATTCTTGGCCAAAATAACTCTTACAACTCATTTGGACGGGGTACATCATACGAGCAGCCAAAAATGAATTTGGAAATATTTATGTCATTTAATAAATTTCAAGGAAGGCTTCCTCCACTAGCAGATTGGGTCAAAGCTTTGGATTTATCTCACAACTCTTTCTCGGGACCTTTATACACTTTATTGTGTCACTCTGAGACTAACCAGTCTATTTTGAAGTATTTGGACCTATCAAATAATTACCTCACTCAAGAACTTCCAGATTGTTGGAACAATTGGAGAGCTTTGGGTTACATATACTTGGGGAATAATCAGTTGACTGGTCGAGTTCCACCAATGATGGGTTCATCATTACCTTACCTAAGGGCACTAGATCTACATAATAATGGCTTTTCTGGTGAGATACCTTCGACTTTCAATAATTGCACATTTTTGGCGCTTCTCAATTTAGAAGGAAACAACTTCTCTGGAGGTATACAAGCATGGCTGCCCCAAAATGTCTCAGTTGTAAAATTGAGATCCAATCAATTTACAGGGACCATTCCGCCACAACTATGTCGTCTCTTTAATTTGATTGTATTGGACCTTGCTAATAATGAATTTTCAGGATCAATCCCTCACTGTCTACACAACGCTTTCCTTTTGGCTCCCCTTGAAAATGATGTTGACTTCTCTTCAAGTCTTGGTCTTTCGCTAACCTATACCATGCCAACTGCAAAAAAATTCATGAAAATTGATTTGCACACAAAGGGTCAACAATTGGAGTATCAGAAAAATCTGAATTTGGTGAGAAGTATTGATCTAGCAGCTAACAAGCTATCAGGAGAAGTTCCTGTACAGCTGTTCAAGCTCACCAAGTTACAATCATTGAACTTGTCTTACAATTATTTGATAGGAGAGATACCAGAGCATATTGGAGAGATGAAAGATCTAGAATCTCTTGATTTGTCCCACAACCATCTTCGTGGGAATATTCCTCAGAGCATGTCCGGTCTATCTTTTCTCAGTGTTTTGAATCTGTCATACAACCATTTCAACGGCCAAATACCACTGGGCACTCAGCTTCAGGGTTTTGACGCATGGAGTTACGCCGAAAATCCTGAACTTTGTGGGCCTCCTCTTCAAAAGAACTGCACAATACCAGATAATACAGAGGAAGTTGAAGAAAATGAGGATGATGGTTTTTTGAAGTCATTGTATCTTGGAATGGGAGTTGGCTTTGCTGTGGGATTCTGGGTAGTTTGTGGTTCACTGTTCCTGAACAGAGCATGGAGGCACTCTTATTTTCGATTTTTTAATGGTGCGGTTGATCGAATCTATGTTATTGTAGTCATAAAGCTTCAAAGATTCCGCTGAATGGGGATATGCTGCAGCTCCAGGTTGGTTATAAAGTTATACTTCTGTCTATTTAAATCTAAAGTTCTTTTTCATAATAACTTTTATTCTACACAAATTCATCAGCGGTGTTGTAACAAATTCATTTTTCTGTTTGTTGCTTCCTAAATCAAATGCATAATGCTAGTTAAGACTCCGTCGATATATGAATGCATCGACTAATTTCAACTGTTTAAAAGAAATTAAGTTATTATCCTTTTATTCTAAAGCAATTAAAATGCCCAAATCAATCCTTAAAATATTTAAGTGTCCTTGTATCATGTTTCTCATTTTTCAAAGGCAGAAGTATATAATTTGTCCTTTAACTTTACCCAAGATTTTAGTTTGGTCTTTTAACTTGATAAGTATATTTTTCTTGCTTTAATACTAAAATCTTATATGATGATTTTTTTTGTAACAATCATAGTTATTAAACTCAATATATTAGTATTTAAAATGTTATTTCAACATTCCAAGATCTCAATGTCATTTTTTTTTGTTAACAATTTTAAGACTAAAAGATTAAAAATATACTTTCTAATATTGAGGGATGAAATTAAAATCTTATATACAGTTAAAGGACTAAATTTTGGTCTTTTCTAAGAGTTGGCGACATTTCAAAGCAACATTTAGATTTATGATCCAAAAGTCTAGATTTTCATTTTCTCTTTACAAGTTAATTGTCATTTTAAAGAAACTCACACTCAAGAGATCTTTTTCAGTTCTCATTGAGCTAGAGTGAACTCATATTATTCATGCTTGTTATTCTAAGTAATAGGTGGTTGATTCCAGATTTTCAAGACTCGCATGAGTCCTAGAAGATTCGGTGCTTAGGCTCTTTGATTGATGGGATTTTGGATGAAGCTTTGGTAAATGGTCGCAGCTTCAATAAGTAGTAGTATTCAAAAGTTTGGGTCTGTACAAGTTTGGTGATGCTTAGTAATCTGTGTGTCTATCACTGTACTTGCTGCTTGATTTGGTATTTTAGACAAATTTGGCATGTTAGATTTTTCTACGATGTGGTTTCATGTTTTCAGTCAATCTCCCAATTGTGTTGTTTCTTAGTAAAAATATTATGAGCTTAGATATAATTTTGATTTGAAGTATGCTATTCTTGTTATGATGGTTATGATTGGTAAATGCGACATATAATGAGTCTTTAAAATTAAGGTTAATTGCTTATTCTAAATTAACCTCAATTATTATGCATCAAAAATATTGTACAAAGTTGGCTTGTGATATATTCCCTAGACCCATTGGGTTGGGATCCCAACTTGACAAATTGGAAAAGCCTGGTAAGATAAAATGACCAGATTTTAAGTATTGAGATAAACTAGCTGTAATCTAACTTTCTTTCCCCCCTGCCCTTCTTCTCCCCCTGTCCAACCTAACCTAGATGTACAAGCCAGTTAAGAATATTATTTTAATTCTAAACATAAGATGTTAATATTTTTTATCTCACATATTTATTATATTTTTTTTAAAAATATCCCTATAACTATAGTGATTATGCTCTGATATATATAACAAAAAGGATGAGTGTTTTAGAAAAACCAACACATATTTTTTCACAAATAATTAATTTAGCTAGCTCCCTTGATTCATGAAAATTAGTTAATTTTATATTTAGCATCAAAGAGAATATATTTCACAATATTGCACAAAGTTGGCAGGCATTGAAGTGCTTGAAGAGGTCCATTCAGGATGCAATCATGCATCTTGAGAATTTTGTGCTTGGAACTTTGTTAGGACTATTGAACAAGAAAAGCCATTCAAGGGAAAATGATCATCTTGCCCTTGTATTCTATACCTTCATTCTCCTTCCAACCAAGCTATATGGCATCGCTAGATGTGGCATATAATTATTAGTTTAATTTAATCTCAAATTGTCGTATGACCGCCATTATTACTGAAGCAAAGCTGCTGCTTAGAAAGCACATCGTACTCTTCTCCAGCAGGAAGAAAACCTACTGCTTGCAGTAAGTCAAGCCAGGACATTCCTCTTGTACGCAAATGGTTTAGTTCTCTCAATCACCAACTAACATGCAGATATAAATCAAAATTTTATTAGCTCAAGAAAAAAATCAAAGCCAGAAAAGCATTACTTCCGTTTTCCCTGTGGAATAAAAGCACTAGATTTATGACTAACAAAATCGAAGCATTCTTGTTACTAGAACTGGAAAATCCTAACTTGGGCTGTTGGTCATCCCATTCATAGTTCCTCCTTCCTCGGTTGCTCTGCTCAGCGAAATCACGTAGATACGTTTTCCATGCAGACAAAGATAACAACAGCTGCGACAGCAATAGCTCCCGTAGATGCTGCAGCCACAGGCCACTACAACTTCAACCCATTCAACCCCTTTGCCTTTGCTTCATTATCCATTCCATTCGCAGCTTCATTGACTGCCTTATCAGTTTTCTCCTTCAAAGAATTGATAACATTTTCTGCTTCCTTAACTTTCTCCTGCAGTTTCAAAATATTTGATTCCATGCTTCTTGTTTTCTCCTCTGATACTCTCAGTGCCTCCTCCAGATTTAGCTTTTCTTCCACTACTGATCCCCTCTCCGGTACAACCCTTTGTAACTCCTCAAGCCTGTGTCTAAACCCACGAATGCTTCTCTTTCTCCTCAATTTCATCTCTCAACTCCTCCAACACCCTAATTTTCTTGCTCTTTTCCTCAATTTCCTTCATCTCGAGAACCCCGATTTCCAAAATGCTCCTCAATTTAGCGCACTGTTCTAGATCCCTCAGCGGCACTGTTTACAGATATTGAATCACGGTTAAGCCTGGAAACCTCGGCCTCTAGGTCGGCCTTTCTCGCCGCCATAGCTTCCGCTGCCTTCTTGGCCACCTCAGACCGTTCAAACTCTCTCTCCAAACCTTCAATCTTCTCTCGCATCTTCGATTCGTCTTCTCTCAAGCCGTCAATCCCCATGTCAATTTATCGATTCCAGTCTTCCTAACTGCAATTTCATTCGCCAATCCGTCTCTCTCATGTTCCACTGCATCGATCTTTTTCATCAATTCCTCGACATGACCGTCACTCCAGCGTACGTCGGGATCAAAAAATTCCTCACCGACTTGATCATCTACCTCATCAATTATTAGTTTTGGAAGAACAAGGAACGGCAAACTAAGCGATAAACTGGCTAAGATACTAAAAATAGTAGAACAACAATGCACTTAATTAATTCGCCAAATAATTAAAAAGAAAAAGAAAAATGGAATAGATTTAACAAAAAGATCGAGAGTAAGAAAAATCATACATCTCACCATCCAAACAACAACGATGAAGTATTTCTTATGAGAAACTAATAAAACCTGAGGACAGTGTCAGTGTTCACAAAGTCGAAAAGAATGAGTCACTGGTAAATGCTTCAATCTCCAAGAAAATCAAGGACGGATGCGAAAGATTTTCGCAGAGTTCAGCAAATTATGAAACTCCCCATTTCTTCGTCCCAAAAGTCGAGTCCCGGATGCATTGCAAGAAGCTAAATTCAGCAGTCGATCTCCATAGTCATATGATAATATCTTCGTAATCACAATTCACAAAAGATTCAAAAATCTATAAATTACATGTCTCTCGTTCATCCATGATAGTAGAATCATTATATGTGAAAGTTATATTATTCTGTACTAATAAACAAGGCCAATCGATCATTGAGAGTCTAGACTCGTCCAAGATTTTCGGACATTTATCACGCCCCAAGTCATTTACTCATCATAACTGTTGGTTAATTATGTCGTCATACCACTAATCTTCACAATTTACAATTGACATTTGATTGATGATTATTTTTAGGAATTCAAGACTCCAACTTTATAGAAACCATGAACATCTCTTTTTTAAAATTTATAACTGATATCCTATAATTTGCAACTTAGGTTTAGCAATTCACAATTCATTTTTAAGGATTTACAACTCGTCTAGGTAAGATTGAGGTCCTTGACCTTCAATGGATTCCAATTTTGATTCCAACTCCTTTTGAGGCATCTCAATCTCATTTTCTTAAGGGAGAATGACTGGAAAATACCCTAAAAATATGCAAATCTCCATTTACATCTCAAGATGAACCAATTACTCTGAATTTCTTAGTTCTCCCTCTGGGTAATAAGGTGACTTGAATTTTATAATAAATTTAATGTTTTTAATTATTTTTAGAAAAATTCATATTGGATGTACCTATACTTTCTCTCAATTATTGTCAATAGAACAAAATTAAAATTTAATTAAAAAACACATAGATACCAAATTAAAAATTACAAAAATAAATACCTTCAAAAAAAATTTTTCCTTATTTTATTGGTTTGAGATATCAGTTAAAATGTTCTTATAAAAACCAAAAGTAGTAATTACAACTTTGCATAGTAAGAATATAGTCACGGAGAAGTTTTTTGTGCTTTCGTGAATGTTTAAGTGATTAGTGTCATTTGTTATACAAAAGGTTTTATTCCCTAAGATGTTCTTGTCAACCTTGAGCAATTTTCTACTTGATCTTGCCGTTGCAAAACCATATAGAAATTGTAATTAGCTATATTGTTCTTGTCATTGGTTATACGAAGATTATTATTTGTTATGGAATTCAAGGATTTAAAATGAAAAGCGTGTATGTAATTTTACTCTATATAGGTCCTATTTGTCATCACAATTGAAATGAGTTATAAGCACGTTTCATGTAAATCAAGACAAAACTCTTTTCATAGAATTACTTCATATTCCATAAATTATTATTGAAAAGCTATTTATAAACTATTCCAAATGGGTTCATAGTTGCAAATAAACCCTGAAATACTTCAAAGTATCCTAAATTAAAATTTATATATTTGTACAGTTTTGTTTTGTGGTCTTTCTCCCTTTTATCAACTATTAAGTAGTTAATGCAATATTTGTTTTATTCAGCTCAATAAAAATAATCTGAGTCAAATAAATGGACAAATATTTAATCTTTTTCCTTACTCAAATATTTTATTTTATTACTA